CTTCATGGAATGAGACAGAATTTATAAAATGCCTCTTGAATCTCTCAGCAGATACTTTTAAGAGAGGATTAATCATAGACTCTAGAGAAAAGTGCTTCTGGAAGAGCAGAGGGAGGAAGGGGGTGCAGCTGAGCCTGATGGAGGGAAGGGAAGAGGAAAAGCAGAGGAAGTTCAGGGAGGAAGCAAGCAAGGGCTCCATGAGCTCATCCCTTCAGTCCCAACTTGCTTCTGTCTCTCCTCTGCTTTGTGGAGGGACTCGAGCAAGTCTCTCCATGCTCCAGTCTGTCCCATGCATCATGACCCCATTAATCCTCCTAAATCACTGCTCATTTCTCATCACTCCCTGGTCCAGAATCAGAGGTGGTTCCCAACATCCTGCTAAATCAGACCTGCACTTCTCTGCCTCACTCAAGTGGATTTCCAGATCACAGCCTTCCCAGTCTGTTCTGCTCTCAAAGCCATCTCTCCTCGGTGTCCTGGCAGATCAGGGCTGTCCTGCCTCAGTGCCTTTACCAGTTCTGCTCTACCCACTCCAGTCTCCTTCTTTGGCTTGTGAGGCCTACCATTATAGTCAGGGTTTATGAGGGAAGAGATTTAATATAGGGCACTTAATTCATAGGATTATTTTATAATATTCACCCAAAGAGTCAAATGCAGAAGAGTGCCAGAAATCTGCCCACACGCTAGAAACCCAAAGAATCCAGCTGAGGATCTGGATTCCACAGCAATGTCCTACACAAGTCCAGCTGAAGGCCTTGATCCCATGGCAATATCTGTATCAAGGATCTGCACTGGGAAGGTCCAAAGGTCAGTGATGGAAGCTAGAAAGTCTGTGCCAGTGCGAGGAAGGATCTGCACCAGCAGGCTGAAGGACCTTTACTGGAGCCAGGAAGTGATTTGCAAGGACCAGGGCTCCCCCAATGAGAACCACTTCCATCCTCAGCAACAGCAAGGACCCAACCTCCTTTACCAACAAAAACAGCTGAGTGTGATATATCAGGAAAACCAGTGTGACAAGTTTCTCCAGGAGAACCAACAGCCCACCATCTTCCCCTCCGGTTCTCCTTTTATGCTGTTGGCAACAATCCTCAGGTGGGCCTTTCACAACCAGCACCATGCTGATTCAGCTCAGCTGGCCATTACAAATTGATCATTAATTACTCCACCACACTTATGTAAGTGTTACTTCTGCACAAAAGGAGTCCTGTCTTAGGAACTGTGTGCTACTCTAGTAGTATACCCAGTACTGGTAATTTGTAAAAAAAATAGGTTTTTTTTCCTTATAGTGCAGGAGGCTGGGAAGTTCAATGTTGAGAGGGTTGTATCTGGTAGGACCTTCTCACCACATGCACTCATAGAAGAAAAAAGGGATGAACTCATCCTTCCATCTGGAGCCCACTGCTGCTTCAATGGCATTAACCCTCATGGACCAGTCACCTCATAAGTGTCCCCTCTCCCAACACTGTTGCCTTAGGGATTCAGTTCCCAGTGCATGGACTTCAGGACACATTCGAACCACAGCAAGACTTCTTCCCTCAGAAATGGAGTCTTCTGTACGGTCTCTCTTTCCTGAATGTAGCAATGTGCTGGGAAATACATGCATTCGTGTACATATATATAAATTTATTATATATTTTACTGATATCAAAAGTATGTAGTACACAGTTTATAAATGATAATAAAACAGGCAGTACTCTTCATTGGAAGTTCTATGTAGCCAGTTGATTTTTGCAGAATGCTTTCATTCTGTTTGTCAAATTTTTGTCTATGTACAGCCATGATGGTAATTGACAAATACATATTTTTCTGGCATAGTGTTGGTTAATATTCTAATGAATAAAATGAAAGTGTAACAACAAAGACATATGTTACAGTCTCACTTGTTTATCAACAACATGAGAAACTTTTTAAATGAATTGGATAATAGTTTTCAAATTATCAGGGTTATGCGTATGTATTATTCATGAAGTAATGGTTACAAACACCCTAAATTTTAATTTTCATGAATGTTTTCTTTTTCTTTTTAAATCTAGACAATCAACAAAACAATAAATCCAGCTCTGGTTTACAGCATTTGAGACGTGGAAATAGTTCTGTATGGCCAACAATTTCAAGCCATCATTGTGACGTTCCTGAATGTAGAGTTGGAGTGAGATGTGTAGGAGCAGTCACAACTGTGTGACTGATAAGGCATAAACAACACAAAATGAACAGATAATACAGACATGTTACAACATTTTTACAAAGGAAGGAGGAATTCTGAGTTATTAAAACTTTTGTTTCAAATGCAATTTAATTGTATATGTACATAATGTGATTTTTAATATCAAAAGACAAAACTGAAAATTTACCTGTTCTCACAAGCCAGTACAGTACACCAATTGTTGCTATCAGATTGGCTGACTCTAATGTTTAGCAAACTCTTAGATACCAGGCATCATGGTTGGCCCTGCCATCCTTGTCCTCAAGGATTTCACAGTCGGGCAGAATAACAGAGATGTTAGCAGGTAATGACAACAGGTTCATGCTATAATGGAAGCAAAAACAGAATATGAAGATTCTGGAAGCCCAGAGGAAGGAGGCCACTAATTCAAGTTGGTAACCAGAAAGAAGCTTTGGCACAAGACTTTGGAACAAAGGACCATAAGTAAAGGTCTTAAGAAGACAATTCTGAATTGAATCCAGACGGATGAAGAAGGGTGTGCCAGGTGGAATAGGCAGGGATGGGCGTGCCAGTGAGGGAGAGGCTGTATACAAAGACACATTTCCTTGGAATATCTGGTAATTTTGTGTGGCTGGGGATGGAGCCTGTGCTGAAGCAGCCAGACACGTGACTGTTTAGAAAGGCTGAAAGAAGCTGGCAAAGCCTCCAAAATCACTACTGAACACTTCAAAGTGAAAGTACTCCCTGTTTTTTTCTGGGTGCATATTTTCAAACATAATTAGGGCAAGTATATCTTAATTTCCCCCATATGACACTGACTAGCTTATCTGCAATGTAAACTACTGACAAAGTCATAGGCAGTAGAACACTGTCACTGACTGGGACGGTTTGGATTATCAACATTGGGCTGGTACCCAAGAAGACACAGGGGATATTTGTGGATTATTCCTATTTTTAAAAATTTATCAACTCCTTTGATTTCTTTTGTTCCAGACAACTGAATACAAAACTTTTGCTTCCCAGTATTCAGGCAGGCTGGCAAGGAAGGCCTAGAAGGGTGAAGACTTACAAAGAATCTTAAGAACAATGTACTGTATTTTGTATCTTCCAGTCATAACATTGCCCTAGATTGGGGGCTGGAGTTCTTCTCCAGTTATTCCAACTTTCTGTCCAAGCATCTGCCCGGGGAGCCTGTGATTCCACCGTAATTCCCAAATCAGAGCCACATGTTGCACACCCCTGAGGATTCTGCAGTTCTCAGCACCACGGTGGTACGGAGCACATTGGAAATGACAAAGGACATCACACGGCTAGCAGAGTCTTTGGCTGGCTTATCACACTGAGCTGGGAGCACTTATTGTCTGAAAATGATCACAACTTCATCAGGCATGTCTTGGAATCCAAAACTTTTGAACCTGGAACCATAAAAGAAAGATCTTAAGAAATGGTTTTGCATGTGTAAGGTCAGTACATTCAATTAATATGAGAGCAGATTGGTTTTCAAACATACGGAAGAAATTGTTTTCATCAAAATGGACTTTTTATTTGGTTTCAAATTTCTGGTTGTTGCCTGTCACTTGATACAAAATATCTAATTTTCAAGAATCATTTAAACCAAACCAAAAGGAGACTTCTGAAGTGGGCTGGAAGTGAGGGCTCACCAGGACGCAGGCTCCTCGATGACACTGTACTATGTCAGTGAGGCTGGAGCAGTTGAGGCAGGCTGAGGGTAGGAGAGCACCTATACTCATTTGGCAAGAAAGCCTGGGGATTCCCCAGGAGACAGGATTCTTATCCCCATGGTGCTGGCAGAGAATTCAGAAAGAAGACAGCAATGGAAACAAGCAAAGGAACATACACCAGTAATCCCAGATACTTGGGAGGCAGGGACAGGAGGGTCTTTAGAAAAGTCCAGCCTAAGAAACTCAGTGACACTCTGTCTGAAAATAAAAACTGAAAATGGCTGTGGTAGAGACCATGCACAGTCTGGACCCCCTGGTGCAGACCAAACCTGACCCCAGGTCTGCTTCTTGTACCCAAGCGTACTGTCACTCATAGCAGGTATTACATTGCTTTGTCACTTTCTTTTGATACTTTGCTTCACTGGACTTGACAATCATTGCTTCTCATCCAACAACTTCCAGCCCCAAATGATTTAGGTGACACTTGGAAATGATTTAGGTGACACTGCAGAAATTGCTTTTCTCTCCAGGACTCAGTTTGTCTTATCTAAAGACGGAGTGATGGATATAAGATCCCTTCCAGTGATCGCGTTCCACCATTCTCTCTCTGTCTGCCTCCTCCGCTACGATGCAGTCATGTCTAAGACTTCTGAAGGGGCTCCAATGCCAGCAGCTTATTAGAAGGCTGAATCTTAACCACGCATGTCCTAGGCCAGTGGTGGCAAACCTATGGCAAACCTATGCCGCAGCAGGCTGTCTGTATCATTGAGAGCTCTAAGAGGTTTGCCATGACTGCCTCTGACATTAATGTTCTCAGAGAAAGTAGAAGTGTTCTAAAAGAGGCCAGAAATTGATAACATTTTTGAATTAAACATTCACAGACTTAATTTTTCAGCAATTTTAGGTTTAGAGAAAGGTAGAGCAGTGTTCCCGCCTGCCCACTACATCCCTGATAACTTCCCTAATACGGGCCTCTGGCACTCAGTGCAGTATATTTATTACAACTGATAAGGTGACATGAATACCTGATGATGACCAGGGTTCATTTTTATATTAGTGTTCCCTCTCCCTGCTATACATTCTATGGGCTTAGACAGATACATAACGGCACATGTCCTTTGTGACATCATATAGAATAGTCTTACTGCCCTGAAAGTCCCCTGTGCCCTGCCTGCTCATCCCTTCCTACCTCTCCCCACTCCCTGGAACCCATTGATATTCTTCCTGGCAGTGCAGCATTGCCTCTTCCAGGAGGTAGTGGCATTGGAATCAGATAATGTGTATCCTTTTAAATTAGAACATTTCACTTTATGGTATGTGCTCAACGGTTCGCCCATTTCTTTGCATGGGTTCGTAGTCATTTGTTTTTATTGTTGAATAATATTCAGTCATCTGGAGCAACCACAGTTTATTTATTCATTAACCTACCAAGGGACACTTTGGTTTTTTTCCAGGTTTTGTCAATTGTGAATAACACTGCTGTAAATATTCACGCTCAGGTTTTTGCATTGACGTAAGTGCACAGCTCATTTAGGTAAATACCAAGGAGTGTGACTGCTGAATCATATAGAAAGAATATGTTTAGTTTTGCAAGAAACCACCAAGCTTTCTGCCAAAGTGTTTGTATCATTTCACCTTTCTACTGGTCATGCATGAGGGCTTCTGTTGCCTGTGTCTTTGCAAAATATTCAGCATAATCGGGAAAAAAGATTTTTTTATTAAGCAATATGTCTTATCAAAAACTTCAGTTCATAATCTAAAAATGTGCTTACTACCTCCTTTTTCAAGCCCCTATATCCCTCATCGTGGTGAATGACACCACATCCCTCTATCCCAGCACTTAAACCCAGCGTAATCCATCTCTGCTGTCCTTCACCAGCCTGACGAGCCAGTTACTAAACTCTATTGAATCCCTGCTTGGATTTCCTTGTTCTTTTCCTCCTGCCTTTATCCACAAAATGCATTTCTCTCTTCCACACTATAATATCTCATATCTTCCAAAATTCCACGTTGCTTCATCATTGTAAAAGCCCGTGGCATTCTCCCATTACTGCAGGTCAGAACCCACACTGCCCTCGGTGGCCCATAAGGTCTTGGTGAGCCTGGCTCTGCAAATCTCTAGCCTCTACAGTGCTTTCCTCTCTCTCCCCAGCTCCCTGCATGGGAGCCCCAGCATTTGAAATGTTCACAGTTCCCAAACATACAAAGCTGTTGTTAACCTTTGTGCCTGCTACTCTACTTTCCTGGGACACTCTCATGGAGAATTCCTACTCGAGTGGCAAGATTTAAAATTCCAGCATCACCACTCCTGACCTCTCAGAGAGAAACGCCTTCATTCTTTGGGACTTCACTGAACCCCAAGAGCTAGCTGAGCTATGCCTTCACATAGGTGGCCATTTTTTCATTTATGTATCTTTCTCTCCAACTTCTCCATTTGTGCATTTCTGTGTCTTTCAAGGCTAGCACACTTGGTTGCTGAATTAAAGGGATACCTGGAGGCAGCAGGGGAAAAGCCAAGTATGTCTGGAGTAGAACCTAACCACTTCAGAGTGTGAAGAAGCTCTCCACCACCCCTGGCTGAATGAATCACATGGAATGGAAGACAACAGGAGAAACAGGTAGAAGGACATCTGCTGCGTGCACGTTTCCCCTCACTAGTGATTTTGAATAGGTTCTGAGGGAAGAGGCCAAGGTCATTGCTAACCACCAGTCTGGCACTCATGGGGGAGGGAATGCTGTAAAATGTGAGATACGCAATTAGTGAAATGGCTGCAAAAAGACCATAAAAATTACTCATTGTCTTTGGAAGGATTTATTCAGGCTCATGAAAATTACCTGATGCAGAGAACAGGTTTGCAAGGAATTGCAACAATTCGGCCTGGCTCTCCATGAATTCTGCCTGGCCCTCCAGGTCCTCTCTTACAGGCACCTTTGTGGGAGGATGAGCAGGGCTGGGGCACAGCAGGGAACAGTTCTTGTGTGGGTGGCCATGTGTGCTCTGGGTCTGTTTTCCTAATTATCAGTAACATTATTGTGTTTGGCTGAATTTTTTTTTTCTCACAGAAATGGCCTTTGAAAATTTTGGGAAAATGTGTCCATCTTTCTATGGGGATCATCTGGGAGAAGTGATCAGAATGGGGTAGTGCCTCAGTTGTGGGCACTCAACCTGGTTGGAGGAGCCTGAGACTCCTGGGTCTCCCACAAGCAGGCTTAGGCACTGCTGACAAACCTTGCAGGTCTGTCGCTTTCCTAGAAAGGCTCCTTAACCACCTGTTTCATGTGGTTCTTTGTTATGTGGGTTTTCCTATGATTAAAGGGAGGCATAACATCTTATTTTGTTTGTCAGCAAGGCTGCACGTATCTGTGTTTAATTATTTTGACTGCGTTGCCCTGCTGCGGGCTTTGAGTTAAGCCACTTCCTAATTTCACTTCAGATCTTCTGGCCCAGGGTGTAGCTATCACACTGAAGCCCTCAGGCTCTAGGCCTTGAACAAAGGAAGGAAGAAGTGATGGCAGAGCTTCTGCTTTGGTTCTGCCTCTCACCCAGTGCAGTGCTGTCACAGACTGTGATGATGAAGGCGCCTAGTACATGAGGGCCATGTCTGACCTTTGTTCTGGCAAAGTCCCACCTCTCCTCCCATGCCCTGCATCGCTCCCCAGGGCCCTTGAACACTGGGGTCACCCACCCTGGACAAGGTACCCAGTGGGTGAGGAAGGGGCTGTTCCATGGGTTTGCTCCCAAGGGTTGGGGAACATCATGTACCTAAATCCAGCCACCTTTACTGTGGAAGAAACTCAGGTCCAAACTGGTCAAATGCACTCTAGTCAGCATGGCAGTGACAGGATTGGGCCACAAGGCTGCTTGACTCTCTAGTCATGGGTTTGTGCTAATGTCTCACGAAAGACATTTTGGGGATCAGTCCTATATTACCAAAGGATCCATAACTGATCACTGCTATGTCCCCAGAGACCCAGTGCTGAAGGCTGAGGCCCAGGTGGGAGCTGCTGGGTTGTGCAGGAACCTTTAGGAAATGGGACCTGTCGGGATGTTTAGGTCCCTGGAGTTGTCCCTGCAAAGAGGACTGTGGGACTGCAGCCTCTTGGTCTAACTAGTTTGTATTCCAGCCCCACCACCTTACCTCAGGCTGAAAGGCAATGGATTTGCAAGTCAAAATAAAACTGTCTTCTTTATAAGTTGAGTATCTCAAGTACTTGCTACAATAATGGAGAGCTACCATAATCATGGATGCTAAAAAGGCTTGTTACAGTGCTACCACGCGACAAGGAGTCCCTGGAATTTAGAGCCCAGAGCCCTTCACCTGGCCATTTCCTCTTCACTTATTCACTTCCTCACCCATTCATTCATTCTAGGCCCTGCCCTTCTGAGCTGCTGGGTGGTGGCCTTTCATCTTTTTTGAAGCACCTGCTGTGGTGTTTAAAACACTTCTTTCCACCAGCAGAAGATATAATTAATGTTATTAAATTTTTTTAAAAATTAAATTAAAAATCTTCTAAATTTCTATTTGAAAATTTTTGAGGTAAAATGGCTGAGTCGAATTAAATTCTTTGGCTTATTTTCTAACCCTGTTCCCATATCAGTGTGTCATAGATAATAAAATATACAATATTAGACCCATATGTTAAAGTTTCAAAATAATTTTTTTCTAAAAAAATTCTGTTTTTCAAAATGAGATAGAGTGGTCCCAAGTGGTAATGAGATGCAGATAAATTCCTAGACATGTAAGACTGAATTGGACTGAAAGATAAAGTCCCGAGACTTCAATCTTTTTAAATTGCAGGGTAACATAGCACAGTTTTTGTTATTTCTCATAGCATGCACTTCGGGACATAAACTCAAAGCCAGACTTCCATGGTTCAAAATCCCAGCTCTGTCACTTAGTAGCTGTGTGATTCTACATAGTAATATCTTTATATCTCATTTTCTTCTTGGATCAAATGGAGATAACACAGTAATAGTATCAACCTGGTCAAACTGTCAGCTTTTGGCTGACTGTCCCCTGCAGGACCCAGAGCCTGTGACGTGGGGCTTCCAGAATCCTGCTTACAGTGATAGTACAGTTTTTTGATTTTCTAATACCTTCTGAAAACACTGGATGTGGTGATTAGGGTGGAGTTTCAATTTGATTGTCTCTGAGATCTGCCCCTGGGATTGGAGGAGCATGTTCCTGGTGTGTCTGGGGTGGATCATAGAGTGTGCCCTTGGGGTCTATGCTTGGCCTCTCTCCCCTTCCACTCTGGCACTGCTCCTTGCTCTGCTCCTCAGTCAACCCGAACTGAGCAGCTTTGCTCTGCCATGCCCTTCTGCCATGTTGTCTGTACCTTGGAGCCAGCTGGCTATGGACTGAAACAGTGAGCGAATGAACCTCTCCTCCTTTAAGTTGTATGTGTTGGGTATTTTCTCTCAGCAATGAGAATGCTAACTATACACTGGATGTGCTGAGAATTAATAACCAGTGGTGAAGGAGATGGCTGGGGAGGAAAGCAGTGTTGGAGGTGGGGAGGAAAGCAGTGTTGGAGGTGGTCAGGCTGGGTTGTTAGGTTAGGTTAGGTTGGGTTCCAAGTCTTCATTCTTTTCTCCTTTCTGATATAGACTTGTAGAACTTTGTAGAATAAGTCCTTAACCACCATTACATGTGGTTTAAAAAATTATCTGTAAAATGGAAAGAATATTAACCATGAGGTTTTTCTGAGAGTTTGGTATAGAAAGACAAAAATCCATGAATGAATTAAGATTATGCAATAAAGTTGCTTCCAAAGATAATCAGCCAAGCCCTATTATTGTAATCATAACTTAATACGATGTTTGTGAAACATTAAACACTGTTGTGAGACTTTAGTCTTTGAAACAATTTGACCAGGTTGATACTGTAGATTTCCTAGATTTTAAAACCCTTTGAATAGTCACCCTCCTAACTCTGTGCCTACTCCACTGTCCCAGGGCACCTCAGAATTTTAGTTTCTTTTCTGGCCTGACTGGCTTTCAGTGCTGGGCATGGATGCCCCCTCTTATCAGAACCTTCATTTCTCCAAAGACCTGGAAACCCAACTCTAAGTTAGTTGAAATTCTCCCTCTGATCTTATTCTACCCTCCTGGAGAAATCTCAAAAAAAACTAGCCCTAAGGACTTACAGTTTTGGTTGACCCATTCAAAGCCCCTGCCATTATCCTTAGAGATGCTAAAGGGCCATCATTTCCTACTCACTTCCTACCCCTGAACTTTAGGTGAAATGTTACTTTCTACTCCACAGAGAAAAATGTAAGAGATCACTTTAGGCATGGTTGTCTACGTCCTTTTAATCTTTACCCTAAATCTCTCCATATCTATTTACAATGATCATGACCATGATTTTTCCACTACATAAGGACAAGAGCTCCATCATTTCATTTAAAATGCGTGTATGACACCCTCCTTCCTGTGGTCTACCTCCCTCCAGGGTGCTCACCAACGTGCCTTGTCAGTTCTCCTCTCTCTGTTCTGAAACTGCAAACCCTCCTGGGGATGTTCACTTCTTTTGGTCACATTTGAAACATACTAATGTCATACTTGAGTCTCTCCTATGCTAAAATCCGAAAGAGTATGTGATAGTTAACTGATTGTGTCAAATTGAATAAGAAATGCCCAACTAATTTGGATCAGTATAGTTCTGGGTGTTGGGATTCTGGTTGAAGGGATTCACTGAAGACAGAAGACTCACCGGGGGTGTGAATGGCACCAACCAATAGGCGTGCAGCCTGAATGGGCTAAAAGGAAAAAGAAGAAGGGAGGCTCCGTTTTGTTTCTTCAGAGGAGCTCTAGTCTTCACCTTTACCTTGGATGTTATCTCGGGGCTTCCTGTGCAGACCCTTCAGGCTTCCAGTGCTCCAGTCTCTAGATACAGACTTGCACGGGACACCACAGTGAGCTCCAAACTTTCGACTGGATCCCTCAGTTCTCCAATGGGCCTTTCCACACCTGATTCTGCAGGGAGCCACTGTAAGCCTATCCTGCAAATCCTTATGTATTTATATATCATGGATTAAATCTGTTTCTACAATAATCATTGACTGATACATAAAATCTCTTTTCTGACATTCAGTCAGAATTTTTTTGACACATTTTTCTGACACAAACTTACTGAAAGACTAGCTTATACTTTTCCTCTTTTAATTTCACCTGAATCTAACTTTAGGAGTTCATTTTTTTAGTCTTTTATTTGCAATTCTGCTTTGTTTTGTTTTAGAGATGAAAAAAATTATGAAATGACAGGGAAACAGGAATTTTATTTACCTGCTCCTATAGAAAAACTATAAGATGTATGATTAGAAACCTTCTTGTGGTCTATTCACGTGCTTTAAAAATCAAAGTTTGTAAGTATAGATACAATCCTTTCCAACTCTACTGTTTATAGCAATACCAGGGTGTGTTTATTTCCTACTGCTACCATGATACAATTACACAAACCTGGAGGTTTCAAAGAAGAGAAATTTATCATTTTACACTTCTTGAGATGTCTGAAATCAAGCAGTCGGGAGGCAGTGTTTCCCCTAGGACTTTGGGGTGAAATCTGTCCTTGTCTCCTCCAGTCTTGTGACGTGGAGTTTTAGTGGGGCTGTCCAGCTCTAATCACTTCCTCTATCTTCATATGACTTCTCTTCCACACCCCCCTTTTTGTCTTTTGTAGGAACACTTGTCACTTAGAGACCATCAGAGTAACCCTGGGTGACTCCATCTGGTCTGTGAATTTGTTATATTCACAGAAGAATCGTTTCCACATGCTGCTGTACAATCTTCAGGATGAAGGCATTAGGACATACACATTCTTTAGGGGCCACCTTTCAATCCATTACACAAAGGGTGGACTAATTAAATGTGGTGGCAGATGAACATTTATATTTAAAAATAAATATGAATATTGAGTATAATATGTAGCTGAAACAGGATTTGGATTCGAATTAGGAGAAGGAATACATTTAAAAGTACTCACTCTGCCAAGATTATAAGCTGCCACTAGACAAATTTCCTAGTTTGGAAAATTTTTTCTAACTATTGTTAGTAGATACTTCAGAATCCATTCATCTGTTTTTCTCCACTTGGTGACAGTGTTGGGAATTTCCTCTCTTAGTCATTAAACTTCTGGTGAGTCCCCCTCTCTGCTACGAAGGTCAAATGTATGACACACACCTTCCTTAGACTCAGGGATTGGCTCAGGAATGGACATACTAACCAGATTCTTGCTAGGATTTCTGAGAGAGGCTCCAGTTTGAGCCTGATAAGATCTGAGGCTGATGTCCACACAATGGGGAATAACAAGCCTTCCAACATCCCTTGAGCCTTTGAGTTAAGTCACCCTTGAGGAACTGCCCCCTTGTTACATAAGCCCATAAATTTTCTTATTGCTGAAGCAAGTCGACACTGGATTTTCCATTACTTTCAACCAAAAGAATCTTGCTTGATATACTGTTCTTTCAAAATAGAATGAAGATATGTTTTAAGAGTAAGTTTTTACAACTGAGTGGCTTTCAGTATAATCACCGAGCTGTGGAACAATCATCACTAATTCCAGTACATTTTCATTATCTCAAAACAAAGTCTCACATTCAGTGGCAGTCATTTCTTAGTCTTCTCTTCCCACAGACCCTGGTGACTAATAATCCAGTTGCTGTCTCTATGGATTTGCCTATTAGAGACACTTCATACAAATAGAATTATGCACTGTATTTTCTTTTGTGTCCAGCTTTCTCAGGTAGCATGGTGCCCTTAGTGTACGTTATGTGTCACTACTAAAGCTATTTAGGTGTGAAAGTTTTAAAGAGAAAGTTTATTTTTTTAATGCTAATTTAATCTCCTTACTTGCTATAACTCTATTTTGATTTTCAGTTTTTTTGAGTCAATTTGTTTCTTTCTAGGACTTTTCCCACTTTATTTAGGTTATTTTATTATTTTGTAATAGTATT